TTTTTTAGTTTTTATGGTTTTTTTTTTTTTTGCGAGGGGGTAGGGGAGCCCCCCCCGACTCGAAACCCACCCCCCGCTCCCAAAACCCCTTCCCCGATCAGCCACGGCCGCGGCCGAAAGTTCTCGGCCGGAGCGGCCTCGGCCGGGGGGGTCCCGTCCACGGCCGGCGGTCGCGGCTACGACCGAACTCGGCCGCAGCCAGGGGGGAACATAGACGACAACATGTCACGTCCCCTAAAAAATCTAGGGTCGGCAATCAAGCTCTCGACGTGCTCGCTTTGCCCGCGCCAACTTCACCGACGAAGGAGCGGAGAGAAACCGACCGGTAAGCCGTGAAGAACGCCACATTGCCTGCGGGCCCAGGATTACGAAAATGAGAGAGGGGATTCCTTCGTAGCCCGGATGTCTGCGGACTACAGTCCACGCCATGCACACGACGACTGTCCACACTGTTTGTCGATACGGGAAGTTCCGGATGCCAACATACTACAGCCACCAGTCCCTCCAACTACATCTCATCGGCTTTTTTACGAGTCAACCAGGTTGCTAGTCGCAGGCAGCGAAAACTTCATCGAAAACATAACACTCCATCTAAGGAAGTATCTATGCTTCTGTGAAGTGTGTTTTTATTAACGCATTCCCTCTCAAAAGTCTCCCCGGCTAAGAAATTGGCCAAGTAAATGGACTGACGATTTTTCCTTCTCGGAAATAGTGTCGGTTTTAGTCCGCCGGGATCCGAACTTCCTATGTCGATGCGTAATGTGGTCAGTCTCTGTGGGCCTGTTGTGTTGGAAAGTCCGCCACAATCCGAACTTCGGGGAATGTTGGCCTTCCGCTTTTGTGAGTTGTGGTGGTTTTCTTTTGTGAAGGGCGGGGGTGTTAAGCTCGAATGCGGCAGTCGTTTTATTTTCCAGCCGCACACACGCACCTCGGTGCTCATGACCACACAAAATCAGGGTCCTATAATCGGAGAGGTCCTGCGTGACTATTGCGTCTGGACGATTGTATGGTTCTCACATTGTCACTTTCGTCGGATTCGTGTTGGGAAACGTGTATTCATTTTCCATTATATCTTTCTTTTGTTGTACAGGGGTCGCGTCATCTCGAACACGGAGATCCTCGAAATATCCAGAACACATATTGCAGAAAGTCTCCGGGTTGACGACAAAACACAAGGATATGTTAAAGGCATCAGGGGTTGATGTCGAGATCGGGAAGAAGGATCACGCCGTTGCCATTGAGGAATGTCTTTCCCTTTTGGCCCCTGAGAAAGGGACATATCCACGACATGTGAGTAGGGGTCAGGCCATGTATGAGAAATACTTAGCAACGCGTCATGCAACGGGGGACAATGCCTAGAGCTCCATTTCTCACTACCCCATGTGTCCTTTGCTCGATATTGTGTAGTGCGGACCACAACACGTAGAACACGAGGAAAAAGATTCGTTGCAGCGACTGCACCTCGAAGTTTGCGGGTTTTAGACGGCATTAAACGAGGCTCGGTGCTACCTCACACTGTTCTTTCTATCCTGGCCGATGGTCAATTTCGAATTGCAGCAAAAGATCTCCTCACCCTCTTGCATATCGACGATAGGGTGAATGATGAGGTGATTAATTTCTATATGGCGTTGTTGGGGTCGACCGCATGTGGGTCACGTGACATCTCGTCAGGCCTTCAAGTCTTCAACTTTAATTCGTTCTTCTTCATTAAACTGCAACTTCAAGGACACGGTGGGCTGCAGAGGTGGGCTAAAAACGTAGATTTGCTTCAATTTGATATTATCTTCGTTCCTGTCCACAAAGATAACGAACACTCGATCCTCCTTTCCGTCAACTTGAGAGGTAATGTTCTCAAAAATTTTTATTGTTTTCGTCGCGTTGTAGCTGATTCGAGTTTTTACATTAGTGTTTTCAAGTTGATTGTACAGTATTTGGAACATCAAACATCACATAGGAATTGGAAGTCGATAGCGGGAAATGTTGTGGTGCATGGAGTTCCGAGACAAGTGGATGAAGCTAGTTGCGGGGTGTTCATGTTGATGTTTGCGACGTTGTTGCAACGTGATGATCGACCGCCTTTTAGGTTCTCTTGTAAAGATAGTTCGCTTATTAGACGACAATCGGCATCATGTATCTTAGAATGTCGTTGTTTTTGATGGATTTGATTGACTTAGAAACTTTTTCCGAAGGTATTTCATTTGTTGATGATTATATTTTGTAAATCATGACATTATTCAACTGTCGTTTTGACAACGACACTGCTTTCTTTTATCGTTGCGAGTTTGGGTTGTCTTCGGCAGGCTCATTGTATGTCCAACGTCATGTATAGACTTTGTAATCTTTGTCACGTCCCAATCGTCTCTCATGCAGCGGAACATGTCATACATTGCGTTCCATGTTTCAAATTTTGTTCAAATCAAAGTCTACATATAATTGAAAAATTGGTCGGTGAATGCATGTCAAATCTGATCTATTGTGCGACAAATTTCAGCGAGTGGATGCATGACAAATTGGTCAGTGGATGCATTAATAAATGTAATGACCAGTGGCGTCATGTCGCTTGCGTGTGCATAGAATCACATGCCTTGTGACCACGTGCATTACATGTAACAAACAACTTTGCGTCCGTGCTCAAACCTTATGTACATGACCATTTAAAGTGAGGATTTCGATCGTGAATAAGCAAAATTTGAAGTTCTAGACTTGTACATAGAATGTGAAAATTAAGCGGTTGTTACAATACACCTTGTTCATCACAACTGTAAACAAGTATGGATCTCAGTGCCCTTATGTTGGGCGAGATTATAAGATTGCCTATATGCGGAAGTCCGGATCTCTTCATCATCCAAACAAACATCTCGGGCGAGACGATGGGTATCCTTGCACAACTTAGGGATAACCTAGTAAAGAAAATTTAATGTGTTATCCAACAACGGTTCAATCGTGACACCTTGCTCACCACATTTATAAACTTTAAGTTTAACATGTATGGATCTCAGCACACTTCCGTACACTGTCAAGGTTACCAGACGAGCGTGCATGTCATTACACTAAGTCTTTTAAACAAGTCCGGATCTCATCAAACATCCAAACAATCGTCTCAGGCGAGACGATGGACCTGTCTTTATAACTTTGGGATAACCGAAAGAATTATATTGTCCAATTCAATCTGAGTACATTGCTCATTTTGTTTATAAAGTTTGACAAGTATGGATCTCAACACACTTCCACATTTAGGGTGAGTGGATGGGAGTGCCTATGTGGAAACACTGCAGTCAAAAATGAATTCGTTAGAAAGAGGACACAATATAATGTCATGTTTTAACGAATAGCATATTCTTCGTCTCACAGCCCACCTTCCGTAGGTTTGCTGATCGTTCTCACCCCAGCAGATTTGAATAGCGAGCGGTGTTCGTTGCGGCCAAGCACCGGCGCAGAGTTCACACGAACAACCTCGCCCTTTCCTACCTCTCCATCCATCAAGAGAGGTTACCTTTCCTCTGCGGATTAGAGCTGCTCACGTCCGCACCGGTAGTTCGGCGCGTTGATCAAGCATAGGCGTTCGGCGGGCCAGGAGTTGCCCGTACCCGCTGGGATGATTAGGTGCTCTGAATGAGCACAAGCGACTGCAGCTCCAGTGTTGCTCGTATCCCCACTAGCGATAACTTAAGCAGGAAGTGCAGTGGAGCACACCGCAGTGTGGGTTGCGGATCGCCAAGCTGCGCACGCTCCGCCCTGCCCGAGCCCCGGATGGATCGCGCCTGCTTCAGTCAAAGGCTTTCCCCAGGTACAGATCACCCCGATTGAAGCTCAATCAAGTCTTTTGCGCATGTACTCTGCAAACACCATGCAGGTCCCTTTGTTAGTTGACGAGCACATCTTTCCCACTCACCTTCAACACCGTGTACGCCTGGCTCGCCCGAGTGA